AGACTCAGCTAACTCGACGGGCTTTAGCATCACATTGGTGATAGGGTACTGAGTGGCCAGTCCGCGCATAAAAGGTGTATACAACCCTGATGTTACTGGCGGGGACGAGGCGATCGGGCGAAACCACTGAACGATGTGATCTTGATCGTATCGGGGAACTGCCAGGTCAAGGATGTTTAGAGTGAAATTGCGATCTGATCGGGAAGTAAGCGTGAGCATTCATTGATTCTCCGTGTTTTTTTTTGGGAAAATATCTAATTACAAACGTTTCGACCAAATTCTGTATTCATCGCACTTCACCAAACTTGCAAGTCGGTGAAAAATCCTTAATCCACTAAACTCAGTACCTTCATCAGACCTCTTGCCGGCTGTGTTCTTTTTTCATTACGGCATTAGCACTTCACCGGTCCAAAGTCAACGACGACGTCTTTTAAAGTACAACCGACGTACTCAACATCTCGTCGGGCTTCGCAGTTCTATGAGATTAATGTCACGTCTTCGCGTTTCAGCGGAATACTTCTTAACAGCCATCAAACCCATAGGTCCAAGCTTAGATACGAAGCCACGGCTCTGTCTGTTCACCTTCTCGAATCGAAGAAAGAGGAAGACCCTAACCTAAGAGAGTTTAAGCAAGCCAGGTTCCGGGGCGGAGCCCCGCACACTGACTTTTCTAAACAATAGAAGTTTGAAGATTGAGAAATATAAGATCAATGAAGGGGAGAATGATTATTTCTTTATTGATAACGAAATAAGATTAGGAGATTGTAGGACGTAAGAGCTGTGGATATTAGAGACAATGATGGATTTTTCCATGAAAAATGAAAAGGTGTATTTTTGAAGGTAGAAGTTAGAGTTAAAACGGCCACGAAGTGTGAGGAGTAAGTGCTGGTTCGTCCTGTGATCACTTTTTTCAAAGCAGTTGATGTGTCTAAGAGCTTCAAAGGCATACAATGTTGGAAGTAAGAATTGTTTTACTTATTTAGATACTTAGATGGCCTGTATTCACTCGTCGTGCAGGCTCCAGCATTGCATCCATCCGTTTCTGGCTCTCGCTGAGTCGTCCGCGATGTTGTTATTGAAAAGCGGTGGCAACGCTTACTGATTCTAGATCCAGTAATCCTTACCAGCAAATTCTCCTGGTCCATCCGTGCAACGCCATCTGGTCCTGGCCTCCCTCGAGGATGTTTTGCTTCGCGAGAGGTCCATTACAGAGTTAGTGTATACACGCCTGTCCTTCTCATTATAAGACCAGCGATGTTTTGCCTTAGAGAAGTATTCTGCTGGATCGCGAAGACGAGACATTGATCTCATATCTGAACTGCAAAGTCCGACGAGATGTTGCGTGCGTCAGAGCACTTCATAAGACGTCGTTTCAGCGTTCTGCGGGTTGTTCGGAGGGCATTGTAGCCACAGCTTCAAGCCATGTCTCGTTGCGTGAGAGAATGCAAGCGAGAACGGTTGATACGCTCAGGTAGGATCAGAACTCGGGCCCGTCAGTTGGTGATTTCCTTTTGAGGCCCAAAAGCAGCCCAAGCTGCTCTTCGCCTCCTGCTTAGTTCTTTTTTCAGATCGTTCTCGTACGCTCGAGGTATACGCAAGAATACGTTTCCGCTATTGGAGAGTCTTCTTCCATTTTCTGATCCTCGCAAAAAGCGTTTTTCATAAACTGAGTCTTCTTCCGGTCGATTCGCACTTCTATCCGCTTCTCTATTTCATTTATTTCTTTCAACATCGTCCCCGCTTCAGTGATACTTTTCGAGAAGAGAGCAAGTCGTCCG